TTCGTGGCCTGGCAATCAAATAACAGTATTTATATAGGATAGGCTACTCTTATCAACATTTGAAATTACTGAATTGTTACCAAATTACTGTTTCACAAAATGTAGATTCCATTTTTAGCCGAGACATTAAAATGAGGATTTGCCAAACAATTATTAATTGGCTATTACAGAATAGTATTTTATGATATACAACTTTTCACATTTCATAAATTATATGTTAGTTTTGCTATGATCAAAGGTGCAAATCCAAATGTTCTTTTCTTTTGGTCTGTATGTAGTAATTTGCTAGAATCATTGACTTTATATAGTCAATGCTAGAATACTGTAGATGGTTTGTTAAGACCATAATATGCAAGCATTTTTGAATCGTTTCCCCGTTTAACCAACTATTCCAAAAAATATAAATATAATATGGTGCAACACAAATAAATAAACTGATCACCTATCATAACCTACACTTTACCTTCCTAATCTAACCTTACTTCAAAAAACTTAATGTAGTCACGAATACTCATAAACCCCGACCTACCTTCCCCACATGCCTAAATTAGATCAGTTTTCAATCTGCGTTTCATTAATAAGTGTAATAACTTACTGTATCATCGATGTAATTCAACATAATATAACCTGTGAGGTATTATCGGATTAAATATCGATTTCGATGCGGTTCGATATATCGCTTATTAAATCCTTATTTCTAACATTGACTGTTTCTAATCAGCTGGCAACACAAATAGGTGCCCATGCCCAAGAGTAAGTAGTCACTGCGATATGCTCCGCGCATTGAGAAAGTAGTTCCGTCTATTTTCGCAATTTGTAGTGAATTCCGCACCTTAAAAAATGTTTTAACGGTATTTTCTTGATTATTAAGATCATAGGAATGATTTAAAAACGTTTAAAAGAAAAGTCTAGAAAGTTCAGAAATACCTTATGATTCTCTTGTTTACATTTTTCTTGTAAACAAAAAACTGTCATATGGCTACTTTAGTCCCATAAGCCTAATGTTAAAAATTGGAAATTTTAAGTTCGTTTTAAATTGCATTAGCATTATCTAATTGAAATTTGTTTGTTTAAAAACCATCTCACTATTAGTCTAAGTAATTTTGTTAAGTTTGGCTGAAATGCGTTCAGCCGTTATTGAGTGATGTTTCTCTATTTGTTGCATTGAAGTTGATCCCAAAGAGCTTCGCTCGCTTCGCTCGCTCCGCTCAATTATCACAAAAACTGTCATGAGCTAGAATGTTAATATAAAAAACCACAATTGAAAGTTGTTTTTAACTATTCAGTATGGAAGGTGTGGATGCATTACCAGATAAAAATACACCTTAAAATTGTTTTAACCCTTCTGCCGTCATCGGGATCACCGTGTCCACTTACAGCTGTCCTGCATTATGTTGAGCCTAAAGGTGGGCCCTTTCCCGACATAGGCAGCGGAAGGTGTGTTTCGCGTCGTCAGGAATTATGCAAGAGTAACACAGCTTAGCGCATCATTAACAGGTAAAACCAGAAAAAGCCGAGACCTATCAAAAACTGAATGAGGTAACAATCTACCTCTCCATACCGCTGATTGACCTGGACTTGCTGAATCAGTTGCCTGGTCCAGCGTTCCCTACGCCTCCTGTTCCCAGCTCTCCTGCCAGAGCCGGAAGGTACTGGGGCACTTCTCTGTTTGTGCCTGGTCCTCCCCACTGATAAATTGCCATCAGGAATGACTCCAGTGATCACTTAAGTGACGGGTTCAGACACTATTCGTTAGGTTGATACTACTCATACTAGAGGTTGCCTGAGCCAGACGCTGCACATGGGTAAACCGTATCCTGTATACCTCCTTGTTGAGCGTATCTACCCACACCTCCGCACCATACAGGAGTGGACCTAAAGATATCAACTGCCTTCTATGGCCGGCCCCAGAACCTCTGACATTGGCCATCATTAGGCCATTAACCCACTAACGGAATAAGCCACCACAGCAGCCTTGTTCCTCAGAATATCTATTAACGTAAGCTATGCTCACTGTCCACCATAACCCCAAGGTACTTGTCGACATGAATGGTTTGATTTTGATGTCCCCCACCCGCAACCGCAAGTTGGTGTCAATCTACTTTTTGGTCAGCATCGCGATCTTTGTTTTGCTCAAAGTAAGCTAGAGACCGTGGTCTGCCAGTCATACCTCGATGGTACGCATAATTCAGTTCAGTTTTAGCTTGGCCAACTCAACATTACGTGCAGCTTAAAAGCTGCAACATCATCGGAGTGCCCATCTAAAACGGTTTCTTTGAGCATCTCAGATCGTTAGGAGGCTGTTGTAGGCAACAGAGGTCCAGGATAAATATGGAACCTTGAGCAACAGTAGAGGAGTCATTCACCGTTCCCAGTGTCATAAACGAGGAGGCGGAACCAGAGGTAATTCTCTATGATGCGCTTGAGGTATGAATGAATGAATCAATTTTGAAATTAGAGGACGTCAGAAAAATAAGAATACTTTCCATTACTCATTCAGTCATCAATCTTGGAATTCCAAATTATCTTGCAAATAATTTTAAATTTTTAAATGGAAGAGGCGCAAGGGATACCCGCTCTGGCTCGTCCACGCTTCGCATTCCTCATCATAGAACAACTGTTTATAATAAATCATTTTTAGTAACAGCCTGCCGCCTATGGAACTCCATACCTTTGCCCATCAAATCTATAGAAAACCGATCCCGACTGATGGTGGCGCTGAAAGAATATTACCTTGACCGGATGGCCGTGGCTTGGCGGGATGGCGTGCGTTAGGCTCAGATGCAGCAGAGGGTGTATGTGTGTGTGACTGTATGTTAGGGAAGGTGAATAGATTTATGCTATTTTATTACTAGCTATGTTACAAACTTTATTGTATTTTTTGTTATTATTTTGTTGTTATTATTAGTTTTTTAGAGGTTAACTGTAAGAAAGGACCATGTGGTCCTAAGTTCGCCTCAATAAAGAAGCATTTTCATTTCATTTCATTTCATTTAGGTATGCCAGGATTTGGAAAGTATTCACCAGAGCGTCTAGCATATTACCACCTCGTGGAATTAAATCGTTTTGCACATTGAGTTTTACAGTAGGCCTACATGCAGCACAAACCGACGACGAGGGTAACATTTGAAATCCTCAGCGCTCATTACAGCTTGCTTCACATTCTCCATAGTACCATTGAGGAGGTGAATAAATTGGTCTCCACTTTAAAAGAAACAAATTACAATAATAAAGTCTGTGTTCGGTGAATGGGTTTAAGGAACTAAGTACACAGACATTGTAGGATACAGACCAGATCAGCAAGTTCAGATTAGGAAGATTCTGGTGTTTTTATGCTTTTATTTCATGTCCCATTTTAAGTAAAGATTAAACCTTTATCATAACAAGACAAAATTTACAACTTTTAATTTTGAGTAAGCTACCAGTACACTGCATTAGAAAAAAACAAATATAACAGTTCATCTGCATATAATTCCACTGTTATGCATTATTGTAAGACAAATATTTGGTAAATTTATCAATCTGATTAAGACTAAAGATTGTTTATTGGTTCTAGAGGAACATTATCAAATTTTTTTGAGAACATTTGGAAACAATATGATTTGGACAGATCCTTTTTGAAAATTGTTATCCATGAAACATTAAGAGGTTCATTGACTATAATGAGACATCATTCATATGGTAAACATCAAAACTAATCAGTCTTATAGCTGTTATAATCCTTCAATATTTTAAGTGTACATTTTTTTCTGTGTCATTGGCAATTTTTTTCTTCATACTTACAGGGCCGGATTTAGCATTTTGGCACCCCTAGGCACAATAATTTTTCCTTCCACTTGTCTGGTTACAGTTACTTTCTTACATACCTTTGATAAAAACGATATCAGGCCTATATGTTAATTGCTTAAACACCACTCCACAAAGGAATTATATCATTGCAAGGTTTTTGAAGAATTTACTTGGTTCTAGCCTTAACGAAATGTCTTAAACACTTTTAGCAATTTTATGTATTAAATAGAGAGCTCGTTTTTGTCGGACTGAATCAAAAGATCTAGCCAGCAGGAAATTCATGCAACGCAGCATGGTATTGCTGCTGCTGAAGTGGCTTCAAATTTCAGGCCCAAAAACATGAACTCCGTTCAGATACCGTAAGTGATACCACAGATTAAAAATGCCCTCTTAGTAGATATTTTATCCTTAGCTGATTAACTTTAAAAGGAATTATTTCTTCTAATACTCTTCAAAATTAGATTAGAATGCCTTAAAAAAGCTAGATTTGTTCAAAATCAATTTGCAAATTATGTTTATGGCTATTTATTTTAATTTCTAGATATTTCATAAATATTTTACCTTTCGGTCAGGCGCCCCCTAGAGGCTTGCTCCCATAGGCCTGGGCCTATCAAGCCAAGGCCTGCATACTTAACTTAGGTAGGGCCTACATACTATTATTTGCATTACCCAAACTGTTACCTTCGCTGTAGTAGCAAACCTATGTATTCCTTAAACAAATGTTATTTAAATAAAGAATAGGCCCTAAGTTAAATCTGACTAAAAAGATATATTTTTACTAAAAAGATATTTTAGTAAAAATATAAGCCTAATCAGGTAAATATGGAAATCCGCTTAGTCTGTAGGTTTTCTGCAGTGTGGGTATTATCGTTTTGTAATTTGCAGGCAGTTCATTGCGCATTTTTATAGCCAACATATAACACATTTTTTATGATAGGCCAACATGGTGCTTTGGTACCGGTACCGTAAAAAACTGTAGTGAGTGCCAGCAAGAATTTTTAAGGGTGGCAACCCCCGTTAAGACGAATGATCCATTTGACCAATCGCTGATCTACGGATTGTGGTGAAGACATCGAAGGTATAAGGAAACCAGTATACCTACCTAGCTTATTCCAGACGTTGGTGAAAAAAAAAACCTCCTCGATAAACAAGTTGATGTTAACATGTTTCTTGGCTATTTAAATTTATTTATTTGTACCGGTAATACTAACCTGAGATTTACGTTTCAGTTTTTCAAACGTGTCTTTATCGAAAACAACTTTTTTCTCTTTGTTGGAGTCTGTTGGGCCAATGATACTTTTTTTCTTCCCATCTCCTTCATCTATTGTTTTAGTGTCTTCTTGAGACTTGTAGCAGTCTGGATGGTATTTATCTTTCGTAAAATGTCTAACATTGGCCACCCTACGTTTACTAGGTATTGCTGCTTTTGATCCAACACCCATACCTAATCAAAACAAATTAATTATGATGTTACATTAGTACGGTATATATTTAATGAAAATTCTCTGTTACATTGGGTCAAAGTTTGGCAAAACTTTGATATCCAACTCCATAATATAATCAAACATTAAGGAATCGATTTGTTTGGTTACCAAATTTAACTTAGCCAAAAACCAAACTTCAAAACAATCTTTAAAAAGTGATCAATGAAAGTCAGATTACTTAGGCCTATCAAAGTTTTCCCCAAATCTTGGCAACCAACAATAAACTGTCTCGCCTTGATTGTAACGATGTGCGTTTTTGAGTTACAACAAGTGCCTAAACCTATTGTGAAAATAATAAACAAACAACAAAAACATCTAAGGTCTAAAGTGTTTCAATTAATTTAACCAAACTTTTAGTTGTCAGACTTACCTGTCAAGGGTTGAGATACAAATATGCACTATGTAAATTGTTTCCTAATTGAAAAACAGCTACAGGTCAAGTTGGTTATAATATCTTAGTAAGTTTGATCAATAATCCCTCAAAAATCGACTTGAACCAACCTTAACTCAACTCAATCTTCCACTCAATTCTCCTCAACCAACAAAACAAACAAACGAAACAATCTTCCTTGTCCAATAGTCCATCCATGGCGTTGCTATGGTTACGGTTACGACTAGTAGTAACAGCTGAGCTGCAACAGCTGATATTGCTCCTTTTCTGGTTGCTAAGGCTAAGCTATTTTTGCACAGAGTACTGGTCCAAAGGCGGCCATGGTACTGGTACTACCATGCATATACTCAAGATATATGGAGCAAAATTAGTATATTACCATAGATAAAACCATAGACTAACCAACACAAGGGAGTATGTTTTATCTATGATAAAACATACTCCCTTAGTAGATTTCTCATCCTTATGGAACAGCTGAAGACAATTTTATTGTTAGTTCATGTACGGTTTATGTAGAGGTCGTGTTTTGTTTCTTTGATAAAACCATAGACTAACCAACACAAGGGAGTATGTTTTATCTATGATAAAACATACTCCCTTAGTAGATTTCTCATCCTTATGGAACAGCTGAAGACAATTTGATTGTTAGTTCATGTACGGTTTATGTAGAGGTCGTGTTTTGTTTACAATTTGTTTCCCGTTATTACAGCCATTTAAAACCTCGTTTAACCAAATAATACGATCTAATCATAAACAATAACTTGTCCCCTAGTTATATAACCAAACAGTAAAGCACAAATCAAGAAATAAACCCTAAAATAATGGAAACAAAGTTTCATCGACACTAGCGCCTTTGTGTCACGTACATGAACTAGACACGAAAAACGTGCTTCAAAATTTACAATGGGATGAGAAGTCTAATTACGTTACTAGTCCTGAAAATAAGTGTTTACCGGACGAGTGTGGTCGTTCCCGTGCGAGACGAAGTCGAGTACGGGATTACCATACGAGTCCGGTACACACATTTTGGACGAGTTACGTACAATAGTCACATTCAAGTTGTGAATGTTTTTAATTGTAAAGTGGCTATGCCGTTGGGAAATAAAATAAAAAAAATAGTTTACGCCACACTACATTATTTTGAAGAACTTCCCACGCAAGTATTTAGTCCAGAAAACAGCTGTTTGCTGCCAGCTTATTCAAATGGGGTTTCATTGCGTCCCAAGTAGCACAAATATGTATATAATACGTATAATTTACCTACCGGCATGGTATAGCTTTTGTATACAATCTGTATAGAAATGTATACAATACAGATTGTATCTGTAAATATGTCCCACCTAAATATGTATTATTTGCATATTGTATAAGGATCCAACTACAGATATGATACATATTATACATCTGTATATAATCTGTAAATTTTGATAGAAATTGATGCTTACCTTAACTGTATAAAATACATATTTTATACATAGATGATACATATTTGATGCCATATTAATAAAAAGTGGCTCAAAATACAATTGTCATAAAAATCAATATATAAAATTATATACATTGATTTTTACTAACAGTTTTCTTTGAAGGCATTTGTTATGGGAGGTGAACTATGTGTCATGAGGGTTGGTGTGTTGTATGATGGTAAAACAATATTTTAAGTCTTCATTAGAAATATGTGTTTTGTGATTTGTCAGGTAAATACCTAATTGATCTAGTTTAGGGACAACCTACTGCTGTTCAGTAGTTTCATCTGAAGCAGGCCCGTAGGACCTCGGGGTACGGATCACATCCGAAGCTCCTAAGGTGAACCAGAGGGGCCCTAGTGAAAGTCTAGAAGGGGAAAGAGCCCCTATTACAGTTACTACATCATTACAATACAGTATGCAAAATGTAATGTTATATTGTTGGTGTAGGCTAGCTATCAGCATTTATTTTCATATCATAATCAAACCAAAGAATGAGAGAATTATGCAATTTTTGTAGACTTCCTTAAAAATGGTAGCAGCCACAAAAAAACAAATGATTTTACCTTTAAAGAATATGTGTTTTAATGAAGTAGGGAAGATAAAGAATATGGCAACTACCTTAACAAATATTAGACCAAGACAGCTTTAAATTTTTTTAATTATCGTACATTGAAGATTATTTGAGAAAAACTCATTAAATTACCTTGTTGAGAATAGGTACCACTTAACAAGCATTTTGGATAGTGCATTTATTTGCATAAAAAGTAAATAATAATATGTTAATTATTATATTAGTGTTTATATTACCAAGCATTATTCAGCTGATAATAATTAATAGTAATAACTAGCTTGAATGTTAAAAAGATTAAGTTGAAATAGTTTAGAAAAATAACCTATTATTAATAATAATACAGTATGATTATAACAACTGAAAGTGTAAAAAAAAAAATACTAACTCACTTCTCACAACTGATGAATAATTTCTAGTTTTTTTAACTGAATCTTATTCTTACATGAAAATGTTGTTTTTTTAGTTTTCCATTTTCCCTATTGTTTATTTAATGTGAGAAAACAAGAAGGCTAGGCTCAACAAATAATAATAGATTTTGTAGTAACTTTTAAGACCTATTCTAAATTGTGCACAAAAAATACTTGCACAGTAAAAAAACAAAAAATAAATGCACAAAAATACAAAAAATGAGTAAAAATATTTGTTCAGATGTAATCACAAGTACCCTAATACATTCAAGTATAAAAGTTGTTTTTATAAAATTGTTTCTGTTGTTTATTAACACACTTTTTAAAGGAACATATAAATGAAACAATGAAGAAATGTCAAGAAAAAACTATTTAATTGATCATCTGCGGTAAACCTAAATTTTTATTTTTGACATAAATCCTTGTTCCTGCTTGGCGTAACCATTCGCTGGTTTTTTTCTCAAACGTTGTGAGATCGAATGAGGACGGGTGTTGTTGACGAACTACACCTGAAACAAAATTCACACTTGTGTCAATGTCTGTATTCCTGTGTATAAGGTAATATTAGGGTACGCACAAGATTCACGCTTAGAGCAACATATCTTTTGGTAATCAATCCTTTGTTTTCTTGATGGCAAAACTTAGATTAATTCATTTTTAACGTTTTAATTTTTAACATTTTTTTAACACGTTTAGTGCTGACTACATCAATTGATGTAGTCGCGACACGAGCGGCCTACATCAATTGATGTAGTTGCGTAACCCCCACTACATTAGTTCAGTATGCGCTCAGCCATTGCCGGGGAACGTTAAAATCGTTGCTAGCCCGTAGCTTAGAATGTAAGCTTTATTTTGGTGTAGGTTGGTACTAAAATTTCCCGTAAAATCCCGTCTGACAATGCTTTTGTACCAGTTTTGGGGATTTTCTCTCTTCAAGCCATATTACAAAGCCACTGACTACTGATCCAGGCAGTGCTGCTACCTTTGGGTGTTTTAGGGAACTATGTTCAATCTCGGGGTAACGTAGTACAATCGCCGCTGCTCTTTTGTTTTTCGTCAGATTGAAATATTTGAATGCCAATTGCGTTTGCTGTTGGTACGGCACCGCGCCGGGGCTTCGCCGCCATTGGCGAGCGCCTGTTGGAATGCCTGCCGTACTGAACGTGTGAAGCAAAATCGTTTCTTTTTGAGCTAAACTAACAAGTTGCAATCAAGAAATCAAAGTATTGAAGAGGTTTAAAGAGTACAGTGCAGAAAAAAAAGGATAGGTACGGTACATTCTACAGACAAAAAATGTGTGTAACATCATAAATTAATATCATATAGCCTATGATAATTAATTATAAGATGATAAATTAATATAATTAAAATCCATTGATCTAGCCCCTGAACCTTTTTATTGACTAATAATTGTTACGTAACTTTACGCCATACTGCTAAAAATGTATGTAAAGAATAACAAGATGTTTCGCCAGAATGGCATTTTCAAGTGGGGGTTTGAAGTAAATGTAGGCTACTGTATAGGTACATACCAATTATTAGTTAAATAATAAAACTTATGATGGTAAAAACAGGGTTAAAAAATAAATTTCTTACTTTGGTTGAGTTGACTTTATAGAAAAATAAATAAATGTCAAATATAGGCCTATCATTGAAAGAATAAATAAAAGTAACATTATAAACCAAATGTTAAAAACTTACGGCAAATCAACTGCACCAATGCAGAGTTCTGCAGACTCCACTTCTTTCATCCTCTTCCTTCCCAACTAAATTCTCTCGCAAGCTCATTTTTGAATAGTCTTACAAGGATCCGTCTTGTTGAGTCCTCAACACTGGCCCCGCCAACCGTGCGAAGATAACTGACCTGAAACACATTATAAAAATGCTTAACTCTTCAACCTCTATTACTATTATATTTGTTTAACAAGTCTGGTGTTTTATAAAAAGCTTTTTTGTTTAAAAGTACGTTATGTTATTATTTTCAACAAGGATGGCAGAAAAGTTTAAGTTTACAAATCTGTTTGTAAGAAGCTTAGATTTTAGGACCTTCATTTATAATAAACTAGTGTAGGCCTAGCCTACATGTTGCTCGAAATCGGGCAAATGCAAAGAAGTAAAGTAGTGTATTTGGGCCCAGCATTTAGAAAAAGAAACGTTCGAGATTCCATACATTATTTAGAACAACAAAATCAACTAAATTGTCGCTGTGTCGCTTAGTCTCACCCGAGGAATTCAACTACTCGTGGCCAGATCTGTCACTAGTGTTTGCTCTCTTTTTGTTGTGTGAAGTTTTTAGAAAATTACTTAAATAGGAGTTCCGTGATGAGGATGTCAAACAATTAATTGATTAAGAGGCCGCCTTTATATTTAAAGTCATTGAAAGACTGTTCGGATATTAATTTGAAGAAGAAGTTGTGGGATGAAGTGTCCTTGGCAGTTACTAAAGATTGGAACAACCACAAGAGGATAAAATAAAAAATCACAACTTCAACAACAAAGCACATACTACGGCTGTATCATTGAAATCCATTCGGTACTGTTAACGCTGTTAACGAATGTAATGTCTAACTTACGTCTTAAAGACTTTAGATTCACGACTAAAAAGTTGCCCGTGTGCGCACTCCAGCTCAACTGTTGCTAGACTTCAGAGTCTCCGAGTCGGTTGCGCAACAGTCCCCCGATTAGTCGGGCAACTGTTGCGCGACTCAAAATCGCCTGTGTGCGCCTGGCCTAACAAATATTATAAGACTCATTGTGTTTACTTTTGATTGTTAATTGAATTACCCGCTTAGTAACTAAAAACGTAAACCATCAATTAAAGTTTAACTGTTACTTACATACCATACACACTTATATTTCCAATGGTGCGTTCTTAAAAGTAAAATTGGTTTAGTTGTAAAAAAGTGTGAATTTAAACATAGTTTTAATTTATATAAGTTATAATTGCAAACATTTAAAACTCCAAAAAGTCAATACCGTAAAATGGCTGGTTTTTTCTACATTTTTTTTCGGCCAACTCGTCAATAACTTAACATCATCAAAGTTCATTTTCAGATTTACCTACATCACTTTCTGTACACATCATCATTTAGGCCTAAATGATTTTAATGACCGTAAAAACTAGGCTACGGTACTTATTTTAGGAACTTTTTGTAACACTTTTACCGTACGAATCTTTTATGTCGCCCTCTTTCTAAACTCACTGCCACTTGGTTTTTTGCTCATTTCACAGAAAAAGGGTGTGATATTACAACGTAAAATAACATTCTTCAAACGTAAATAAAATCATAAGCAAAAACACGGCCAGTATCTTTACTTGCTAACAAATTGATACTGTAATAAGTTTCTCGCCATTTGACAAAAGCAACTGACATTGAGTATAATGAAAAAAGGACATAACAAATTAATAGCCTACAAATAAAGACAGACGATTAAGTATAGTTAATGATAGGCCTAATATGCAAACAGTGGCAGTGATGAGTCATGAGTGGAAGACGAAGTGAGGAGGTTTCAGATATTTTCCAATTAGTGTCTGTTACTAGCTCACCCAACAAAAAAAAAAAAAAAAAAAAAAAAAAAACTCTTGCGCCCCTGGACCAGGGCCCATTTTTAACCGCGGTACTGGGTAAGTTAAAACTTTCATCCCTAGATCTTAGAAAGACAGATGTGATGTCATAGGCATATTTGATATACATTTTGATAGCGTTGTTACCCTTCAAAGTGCCATCTATAAATAAATAGTACCCTAGGCTATTATGTGCCAAGCCTTGATAAAAATTACTCTTGACTTATGCAAACTTTCGTTCAAGTTTATTACTAAACGTAGCTGCGATGTTGTTTCATAAGTTAGACCTAGAAGTTAATCTTAAACAAAAAAAAAAACATACCGGTAGCTAAACCTAACCTAACCATAACCTACTGATCGCAAATGCGGCACCTTAAGTTATTTGTTTGACATTTCCTTTCGATAGTTTTGAAGGACATAGGCCTAATTATAAAGCTGCAGCCTTCTGGGGTTACAGTTCCGCAGAGAACCTGCGATCTTATTAAGTTATCAGATCAATAACGATTTATCAATATTTTTATAAATATTAACATAGGCCTAGGCCTAAGTTTAGGCCTAGTTAACTTTAATATTGCATTGACTTTAATTTTCCCAGTTAGCTTATACATTAAGTTATAGGCCTAAGAGGCTAACTAAATGTTTTCTTTTGTTGCTTTTTCATTAAATAGGTTAGGCTATATTTTGCTAGTAAGTTACCGTCTCAGGCTATATTTTGTTTGTGGTTAAATATGCTTATAGGCTAGTTAATATCGATAGAAACGTAGGCAAAACAAATCATAGGTCAATTTGATGTTTACATTGGGAAGAAGAATAAACATTTAATTTAACTTACCAAAGATATTTATCATTAAGTCATCCATCTGTTCACAGATCACAGGTTCTCTTCGGAACTGTAAGTTAAGTTACCCCCTTCTGGTCTTAAAATATTCATCTGCCTACAAGACTAGGCCTGAATTTTAACATAAACTTACCAATTAACATCATTTTTAGTCTTAACTGTAAGTTAGGCCTAGGCTAACTTATGACAGGTTCTAAGTAACTTAGGCATAAGTTTAGCTACGGTATTTGTTAAGTAGACCTAGGCCTAGCTTGTCTCCAAAGCTAAATTAGTTCAGACCAAGGACATATTGCAATGAATTAGGTCTAGGTTATCTCCTGAAGTTGGCTTCCTTAGTTTTGTAAACTACAGCCTATTTTTTCCCTAAAGAGCCTCCATCCGTAGAGTTTTTAAGGGGTTAGGAAGGCTAACTTAATTTGTAACCTATTTCCACTTATAAAGTATTTAAATTAGATTACCACCATTCGAGTTATTAACAAAACATATATGCTAAATCTCTTAATAACTTACAATAACGATAATAATTTGTGTAACTTGCCTTAACTCAAGTTAGTCGAATCGCCACTGAAGTTAAAAAGTCGAAGATGTAACGCAAATCTTAAAGAATATAAAGTAAAAAGTAACTAATAGACCTAATTAATAAGTAAATAATAACAAAACAACGAATTCTTCTCGTGTAACACTGAAAATCAGAAGTAGATGCTCTAGTCTAAACACAGCCACAAGGACAACGTTTGTTGTGAGTTGTGAGACAAAGACATTAAGACAAACAATATGGCGGTGGCGGGTCGGATGCTGACCCCCGCTGTTTTGCTCCCATAATGCATCAGCGAACATCGTCGAACCTAAGAAAACGCAGAGACTCGGGTATCTCGCGCGGCAGAATATTTTGTTCATCATCTATGAATATTATAGTACAGTATGTGTTACAAATACATTTTACACAGGATGTTGAAAAAATGCAGGGAAATAAATACAACACTACAATTTTTTCCGTATTTTTCTATTGATATAAAATACATATATTATCTGTATCATCAATACCTTTACTTATTTTACTGCATTCTCGAAAGTTAATTTATGCTCTCAAAACAACATTTAGGTGAAAATTTACACTTTGTTTCTTCATTTTACAATATTTTATGCAAAATTTATTTTGGATGAAACCGTATTTTCATATTGGTATATAATATGTATATTATCTGTATCATTAATACATATACGTTGGTTATACCTTAATCCCGAATATTTACGTATTATATACATTTCTTGCTACATGGGGTACTACTGTGCTGCAATGAGTTTTACCGGACACCAATCAGCTGATTGTACTGTATTTAGTATTTAGGTGGCAATGAGTGGTTATAAACAAAAACATAACCTCTCAATGACTAGTGATTTTTAGTCCTTTAGTTGGTGGAAATGTATAAGGATTTGTACAGATTTAGTAGTATGGCGTAAACTATCGTACGTCACTCGTCCAAAATGTGTGTACCGGACTCGTATGGTAATCCCGTACTCGACTTCGTCTCGCACGGGAACGACCACACTCGTCCGGTAAACACTTATTTTCAGGACTAGTAACGTAATATACTATTACGAACCAGTCATTGCCATCTAAATACAGTATAATCAGCTGATTGGTGTCCGGTAAAACCGTAAAACTCATTACAGTACAGTAGTACGCAATGAAACCCCATTTCAATAAGCTGGCGGCAAACAGCTGTTTTCTGGATTAAATCCTTGCGTGGGAAGTTCGTCAAAATAATGTAGTGTGGCGTAATAGCTATTTACATTACAAGTGTAGTAAGAGCGTTTTTACATCACGCAGGTGAATGTTGTGAATTCTCCTAAGTGATGTAAACAAGCTCTTGCATAACGTGTAACGTTCAAGATTTTACCTGACCCGACAATATACAGAAGGTTACGAACAATATTTTTCATTATCCATTTCACTCATCTTCTAACAGTAACGTTCATTTACAAACAAAAGCTAGGCTAGGAAAATTCTTCAAAGAATAACAGTAAAATTCAAGCGCACTGCTGATTTCTAGCGTTGAACGGCGTTGGCTCCATAGAGGTATATTTTTTTAGTTAATTACTCAATGTTATTTTAATGGGTTTCATTACCTCACCGAGTGATTTTTTTCAACTTTACATCACTCGTGAATTTGAAGTAAAGAATGCATCACGTTATGCATCACGCTTGGGATAGGGAAATTGAGTTAGATGGAGATTCCAACGTCACCAGAATCGTAGGCTACATGTATCTCCAAATAAAAAATAGCATCTGATATTTAATTGAATTTGTTTATATGAAGATTTGTTTCTTGGTGCCATATGGTCGAGGTCGATGAATTAGACTTTTGAATATATTTTAAATGCAATACACTATAAAGGGTGTTTTTTTTAAAAACTTGCATCTTTATTTATGTAAAAACCGCAATAGATAGAAATATGCAATTTGCGGGAATCATCTATTGACGTAGGGGGCCCAATTTTTTTTGAATTCAACGTTACATTCACATTCCCCCCCTTCCCCCCCCCTTCCCCGAACTTAATTTTTTTAAATAGCAAGGTACCCCTTGTGACATATCAAATAAAAGAGCACGAAAAAAGAAAATGTTTGATGAAAAAAAATTGAAAATCGGTTCATAAATTTGCTAAATATATCCCTCCCCCCTCCCCGGAACTTATTTTTTTTTAATCACAAGGTACCACTTGTGACATATCAAATGAAAGAGGATGAAAAAATAAAATTTTTGGGGAAATTTATTTTTCATTTGATATGTCACAAGGGGGGGTACCTTGCTATTTAAAACAAAGTTATGGGTAGGGGAAAAGGGGGGAGGTTATCTCACAAATTCATGAGCCGATTTTCAATTTTTTTTCACCAAACATTTTCTTTTTTCATGCTCTTTTGTTTGATATGTCACAAGGGGTACCTTGCTATTAAAAAAAAAATTAAGTTCCGGGTGGGGAGGGGGGAATATCTCACAAGTTTATGAACCGATTTTCAATTTTTTTTTTCATCAAACATTTTCTTTTTTCATGCTCTTTCATTTGATATGTCACAAAGGGTACCTTGCTATTTAAAAAAAATAAGTTGGGGGCAGGGGGGGAAAGGGGGGGAATGTGAATGTAACATTGAATTCAAAAAAATTGTGCCCCCTACGTCAATAGATGATTCCCGCAAACTGAATATTTCTATCTATTGCGGTTTTTACATAGTAAAAGATGCAAGTTTAAAAAAAAAACACCCTGTATAAAGTGCTGGTAATACATATTAATAGATCTTCATTTAAATAATCAATATAATATGTATGATTGAACTTTGCCTTTTGCCTATATGTTTCCTGTTAAGTGTGTTTTAATTTAACTGTTTCTTATAGTAGATTAGATTTTAAAACCCGAATTATATTCTTTTCTGCATTCTTCACCCACCCCGTAGCGAAGCACGGGCAGAGCAACTAGTTCATATTACAAACGCGCAAAAGTCTCTTTCAGATCTTTCAAATGAAATGGTGCTGGCCTGGAGTAGGCCTGATAGTGATGAGTACGGTAATGTCAGCAAATCAACCTATGTTTTCTGTGTATTAGCGAATTTCCCATATAGGGAATAAGCTATTACCGTAGTACTCACGGTAAGACCTGGACCCGGGACCGATTTTTTTTTTCGTTTTGAGGTCCCTAGAGGTCAAAAACACCATCCGTTCAAATTCATATATATATATATATATATTTATATATATATATATATATATATATATATGTGTCCGTTAGCGCGATAACTCGAGCAAAAATGATCCGATTTTGATGAAATTTGGTACAAACGTGTAAACCTACGTTTATTCGAACGAGTTCGCGAACCAGCATGATCGGACCATGGGAACGGGGGTTTATGGGGGCTGTTATGGGGTAAAAATGGGTTTTTCCCATTTTTGACCCAAAAAACATAAAATTTTGCAATTTCTTTCGAAACTATTTTGTAGAGCTTAAAAAAACAAATAATTTAGTATATTGAAGCGTTATAATGCGCCTAATGGTTACGGAGAAAATTCCAAAAAATTGTAAATTTAAAATTCCCATGTTATTCTTATGGAGAATAAGTAAACTGTTGTAGTTTGCTTGTTTATAAACATATTTTGCCCAAATTTGGAAAATGTTTTTATTTCTTACTAACTATTAACATTTTACATAAAAAACACTTTTACCCTCCCTGTTGCAGCAAACCTAAGTATGTTTTAAACTGATTCTATTTAAATAGGGAATAAATGTGATAATTTTAAGGAGACATTTTAGTGTAAATCCATTCAGGGAAATGGAAATTCGCTTAGTCTGCAGGTTTGCTGCGGCGGGGGTATAATGTATACCTGATAGTTACAACAATCTTGGGTTTGACATGAAAACAAAAAGAATAACACAATGTTTTAAAAAGTAAATCAGTTTATTGTTTATAAATAGGTACCTAATATACAACAAACATACACTAGCAAGTCAATGGCATATTATATACAGTGTTCAATAAATACATTAATGGATTATTTTATTCAAAAATCTACACAAAAATACAAAATACATATACAAGACTATATAAAATACACTTTGTTAAAATACAACTTACTAAGATTAAAATTCTCTAAAAATAAGTGATAAATGAGATTGTGGTATTACTTACAAGATGTTTAGTAAATGTAAAAAAGTGTAAAGCTTAAAATATAAAGTGATTTGGTACTCAGATCTTACATAGAATCTTACATTTGTGAATGAGCTGTGTTTTATGTTAACAATTTACAAGTATTATGGGTTGGTGTGTTAGGCCGGAGACATGAGTTACAAAGATGTGACACGAGCCTTCAGAGCTTCAAGCTGAGCAGCCACTGGTTTTGGAAGATCCTCTCCTACTTGCTCTTCAAAATATCTTCCTATCTCTTCAACCTGTAACAAAAACTGCATTTAGAAACAGAAGATATTCCTGAAATAATAATTAAGTACATCAAATAGTAATGAACAAGGATACACTGTACCGGTATTTAGTACACTATCTGAAACTTTGAGTGATAGAAATAGTCATCCCATTACAAAAATATTACAGTATATGCAGAGTCATAGGCTGTTTTAAAATAAAATTTATGTAAATGAATTGCGCCACTGACGGTGTGCTTTTGATCAGGCCTACTATATTGTGTTTAGTCGATTAAACCAACCTTCCAATAAAGCCAATTCGAAAGGTAAATCTTGTTAACTAAAGTCCATGTTTTTTTTCACAGCAATTATCACAGTATTGCGATTGTATTACAAGATCGCACCACTCCTACACTCATATCCATTCATACTTGGCTTAAAATACCTTCTTTGTATGGTCACCATTTTATTGAAAGTATTCAAAAGTATTATAAAAAACTAAGATAGAAAATTGAATCTTGACTGAAGCACAATCTGAGAGAGTCTCATTCAACTTTCTTCTATTGGAATTGACTGCAGCTGGGCTACAAATGGAATGTCTCTCAAGAAAAAAATATCATCACCGACTGGGGAAACCAACAACCTTGCAGTATAGGAAGAACCAACATCTGAAGTTTGGTTCCATAGATGCCTCATAATGTTGATGAAATTTTAACTTTGTGCAGACACAATATCAAGTGAACATTCACAATCAGATTTCTTGTAGCAAAAATCTTATTAAATTGAAGAGACAGATAGCAACCGCATAGTAATCCAATATTTTTCAATTTTATTTGAAGTGTTTTTAAATAAACGTATGTTAATTTCAATAAATTGTCACACAGTTATTCTTCTAGTACATACCTCTTGAGTCCAGAAGTCCTTAGGTAGATGGAAAAGCTGCTGCAGATCGATGTTTTCCTGAAGTCCCTCGAGATTGAGAGCTCCGGGTGCCGGGACGTACCCGATGGGTGTTTTGACAGCAGATTCTGAGTCACCTTCTACCCGGCGCAGCACCCAGTCTAGCACTCGGATGTTGTCCCCAAATCCAGGCCACAAGAACTTACCCTACGACAAACAAACATCAATGGGTAAGACTTTATATAAAAAGCTTGGTTTTTAAAAATAGTTTTAAATTTTTACTAATATTCGTGGAAATTTCTACTTGTACGTACAATACTTAGTTATAAGCAGTAAAATTCATTGACTCTCTTAAAGCTTTTAAGGCGGTTTTACATGGGTAGAGTTGTTGGTAGTGTAGTGTTTATAGTAGAGCTACTTTCTTGTCCACTCTACCGATTTTAATCAAGCAACTGTTCACACATAGTTAGAGTGTTGATGATAGTTTGCGAACAGAGTGTTCCTCCTCCATTCCCAAAATGAGTCTTCAAAACCAGTTACAAGACAGTGTCACTCTACTAGAAACTCTACTCTACTGCCGACGGATTACGTTTATACAAGTATAATGTGCAGGAGAGGGACAATTTTGCTAGTGGTGGGGGAAGTAGAGTAGAGACACTATGCCACATGTTGCTAGTAACTCTACTCTACCACCTACCACCTACTATCTACTATACTATAGCTACTTGGCGCTAGTGAGTGTTTACACGAGTAGAGTTATTCTACTAGAAACTTTACTTTACTCTCAACTCTACCCTTGTAAACCTGGCTGTAAGAAACTAAAAGTGTTCTTTTGATTGTTTACTTAGTTTACCTGATCATTTTTGCGGAACCAGTTGACGTGGAAGATCTTTGGAAGTTGAATGTTGGGCCTGTCCTTGAAACTGAGCCAGTGTTGTAGGTAATGGCCAAAGTTGTAGCCAAAGAATGGTCTCATGGCGAACGGGTCGTGCATTATCATCTTGCCCTGAAGAAAAGTTATTGTTAATTTCGTCATCAGCAATAATGGAAAAGAAAAACCAAAATATATTGTACAAACAAACTAACCAACAATCCTTGACAAAACAACCATCTCATATGGATTATATAGGAATTTCAGTAAACATTTTTTTAAATATATTTTATTCACATGTTAAAAGGAATCGAAAACATACAAAGTCATCAGGCGAGTCATTAAAATCCATACTTTGTTCAAGTCAGTGATTTGATTTAGACATTTTTTTCTAGTTCAATTCATCTTCTGTGTCGACGAAAAATGCGAGGAAGTTATCTCAAAAGTCAACTTTTGTAAACTATGAGACAGTTGATGTTTTTTTGTGTTTAATTTGAGGGGTGAAAAACCCATTTCAAACCAAAAACTGAGACTGAAAAATATAAAAAATTCTCTATTGGCCCCAGAACATATTCATAAAATCTAAAACAAAACCAAAGTAAGTCCATCCAGAGTAAATCTTTATATTGATGGTGGCAAGGTACCATAAATTGTGGATAAACAATAATTGTCCCTATTACATACACTGGCCATCGGCCATGCTATAAAAGTGTAAAATGAGGAATTTATAATGGTCTCATCATATTGGCTGTTAAGTATCTTTGATGAGTATCTTTTATAAATTATATTATTTTAGCTGACTCGATATGAGTATCAGTGTTAACAAATTTTTAGAATTAATTTTAAGATGAGAAAACTGTTTATGAACCTTGAATTCAGCAGCTGCAGTGGCCTCAGATCGCATTGAAGCTCCTAGGAATACTCCGTGGTCCCAGTCAAAGGCTTCGTAAACAAGAGGGACTCCAGCTGGACGTCGGCCGCCGAAGAGGATTGCATCGATGGGTACTCCTTCCGAAGCCTCCCAGGCGGGGTCCATGATTGGGCACTGGTTGGCGGGGCTGCAAAATCTATAGAAGCAGAAAAAAATGTAGAAATTTTACTCTGCGAGCTCATTAACCTGTGTTCGTTTTCAATAAAGATTTTTTTACAGCTGGTCAAAATAGATGGGATGGCTACTTTAGTATTAAAAAAAAGTCAGTGTAAAAGTTAAAAATACTAAAAATTACATACCGTATCACAAAGGTTTTTATGATTCAAAATAGACTACCGGTAAATAAATAGACTAACTTCTAAAATACAATGTAGTACTGTAGAATATATTTTCCAAATTTAAAGCTAGATCATTTACCTGGAGTTAGGGTGAGCTGCAGTGGTTCCCATAGACTTGTTCCATGCTTTACCATGCCAGTCGGTGATGGACACTCCAGGAGGCAATTCCTTCTCCATCCCCTCCCAGAACACGCCTCCGTCGCTTGTCGAAGCCACATTGGTAAACACGGTGTTGGAGAATACTGTCTTCATGGCATTTGGGTTGGTCTCTGTTGATGTACCTAGAAATGGATGATATTGTTGGATCAGAGTGTTAAAATATAATAGGCCGTAGCTACAAATTTAGCTGTGCTGCAAACTAGGAGCAAACCAGCAAACACATAATTCTTTAAGCCAATCCATTTCCAATCTACATATTTTCAGCATATTCTAATCCACAACAAAAGACATGCATATCAAAATAAGTATGTGATCATTGTAAACTTTTTTCTGGTATGCATAGCATTTGCCATCGCACTGATTTGTTCTGTCGTCTACGCCAGTGCTGTTTAGTATGAAAGTAACTTTAAATGCATTATCTTCTTTTATATATGCTAGGGTTGACGTCTCTCTCTTTCATGTTGGAGTTGAATCCCTCCCAACCACTGGGCTAGCAACACACGGCTGTTCTATACAATCTTTTTGTTAAACACTAAAACTATATCAAAACAATTGCATTTGACTGTGTTAGATTATTGAAATTTTTTTCTGGCATGATTTTTTATACACTATTGATCATAGATTTGTAGCCTTTCAATGAAATATATTTCCATTGTCTTTTGTAATATCTCTAATGCACAAACACAAAGTTGCTATCCTGACCTGGTGCTACTCCAAAGAAGCCATTCTCTGGGTTGATTGCATGGAGTTTTCCTGTGCGAGGGTGTACTTTCATCCAGGCTATATCATCTCCAACGCACTCCACCTAAAGCAGAACCAACAATATTACTCTCAGTATATTGAAGCTGCTAATTTACTAAAATTAAATTAAACGTGTAATTTGTATCGTCTGTCATATGGTAATTTATTCAGTCTTCCAAAACATTACAATTTGACCTTAAAATGTGTCAAAGACACTTTTAAGTGCTGTCCTAAAACCCATTTTAATTAATATAAACATTAATAACAAGTTTACTATTAACAGAATGGTTGTTAGCACAAAAGTACAAACGTTAGATTCTCACCTTATATCCAGGAAGTGAGCTTTGTAGCATTGCCAGATTTGTTTTTCCACAAGCACTTGGAAACGCTGCAACTATGTACCGTTTCACTCCTTGAGGGTTAGTTATTCCGAGGATCTGTAATTGAAAGAGATGATTTAAAGCAGTGCTACATTAAATGCTCCATTAATAACTTTGATTATGGATACATGTAGACATATCTTATTTTATTGTTCAAAATGTTGTCTATTTCAGAACAAAAATAAAAATAGTTAATTGAAATAAACATTTAATTGAGCTACTAACAGTTTGTGGTGATGTTGTACACTATTTTACCAAGCACAACTGAAAGGAACTGATACTGACTGTAGTTGTTAAACCATGGAACCTGACTTATATTTGTGATCGATGTCAATTCAGTTTACTCACCAGCATATGCTCAGCCAGCCAACCCTCCTTCTTGGCAATACAAGATCCAATTCTAAGAGCAAAACACTTCTTCCCCAAGAGAGAGTTGCCACCGTAACCGCTGCCATACGACACGATTTCGTTGGCTTCAGGGCTGTAAGGCAAACATTGAAAATCAAATAATCATTTGATAATGTCTACACGAAAAATAATCTTTTATAGGTAAGGATGGTATAAAAGACTTTAGGATTTTTACTTCTATTTTTATCTTAATTGTACTTACTGTACCTATAACTTTGTACTGTACTATTAGCTTTAAATCTCAAATTTAATTGTGGATTGATATTTTACTGTATAGTTTATCCTCGCTACTGACTATTTATCTAAGCTACACCTTATACCCTGTCTAGTAAGCAGAATAAAATTCCTAGCTTGTTCAGGTAAGCAATAAGAAAAACTTTGCCGTACATCAGATGGTAAAAAAATTAAAAACCCATTTACACTACATATCTCTAAATTCTCAAACACCCGATGATTTTCTCCATTTTTGGTTCTAAATTGAGAATATTCATAGCTTAACAACAAAATGTTTTCTCTCTATACATTATTATTAATGGCGTAGTTTGTATGTTCAAACCCATCAGGTGTATCTATGGATAGTGTTTGCCATAACCAACCAATGACTCTGACTCTCCACTCACTTGTGCATGATGATGGTCCGCTCAGGGTCGCAAGGCCAGCTGGGGTTCTCGTGAGTTTTCCCGAGAGGTCTCCCGAGCGCATGAAGAGCTTTGACAAAGTCACAGTTGGTAGCGAGAGCCTTCAGCACTTGAGAGCCCATCCTGGTCATGATCCTCATGGACGCCACGACGTATGGGGAGTCGGTGATTTCTACTCCTAGCTTGGACAGAGGCGAGCCCACGGGACCCATGCTGAAGGGGATCACGTACATTGTGTGGCCTGCAGCAACATGCAGGTTTGTTGTGAAAATTATTAACATATTTTCTGATGGCTTAAGTAATGATAAAATTTTTAACAAAAGTGTACAGTAATAATTAACTGCTATTAGCAGCACAGTAATCCGTGTTGTTGGTTTAGGTTAGTTTTAAAATTACACCAAGCTGTAATTGGTGGTTGGACTTAGCCCTTTTGAACTCTTAACATTTTACATTGATCATGTATATTTTTATTATATTTTTTCCTTATCCGATGAATATCAAAATACAAGTTTTTGGTGGAGACACACATAGAAACCGAAAAACAAGAATTTATCACTGGGCTGTCAATCAATGGTGCTATCTAACAAAGGATATAAATTTCCAAAGTGTTTCCAAACATAGACAATGAGTTTTTCTATTAAACTGTATTTTTCTGTAAATACTGTGGTTTTTTACCGTCCTATTTACAAACACAACTAAAAAAATCAATTCTGTAATGAGTCCTCACCTTCCATGCAGCCAGGGAAGCGTTCCTTGATAGCCAGTTGCATGTCCTCAAGGCTCATCCAATTGCCAAGTTTGCTCGCTGCCCCAGCTCGTGTCTTTGACACTGTCTCGCTGCGGTTACGAGTGCACATGAAGGTACGACTTTCCACTCGAGCGACATCCTTCGGGTTCGTTAAAGCTAACCAGCTGTGAAATAACAACATTTAAGTACAGTAACATGGAGACTAAATACTAAACAAATTTGAAATTTGTGTCTGCTTGTTTGTTTGACTGCTCAAAAACCCTGAATTGTCCAAACAATATATCAGTGTTTCCAATTGCGTGATTTTTTATTATTCACTTGGGTACAAGTTGAAGTTTTCTGAGGCAGGTAATTACTTAAGTAGCCTGCCTGCCAACTGGCCTTGTGTAAAGGCAGCTTACAGCACTTCTGTCAGTGGCTCATGCAACTATAGCGCGTTCATTTAAAACCTACACGGTTGCTACAACTTTAACATATGAGAATGGCGGGTCAAGTTCAGTTCAATCAATAATCAAATAGTTCTAAGTCATATTTTAAAATCATGGCTCCCAGCCAGAGTATGAAATTATTGAATAACATTAGGTACTAACCAGTTCTTGTACTTAGGTAGAGGTCGCAGCGTTCCCTGACTGACCATCAGTCTGGTCAGTTTGGTGTTCTCCGCCTCGCTCCCGTCGCAGATGTGGACATGGCTCGGCCGGCACAGTTCTACATTGCTCTCCACAAACTCTCGCAACTACATACGACAAATTACATTTAAACTCAAAAAATCATAGCATTACAGGTAGTGAGCAGACAGAGTCTATTATATCACTGTTATTAAATCGGGATGGAACTAAGGTGTATTTTAACCTGAATATGAATTGAAATTGAGTAAAATGTCTTGTTTAGCTTTATTACTGACTAAGCTGTTTTTTACCATTCAATCCCAATGATCAAGTACAGCTGATTCCAATTAAGAAAAAATCAAAAAGCTACAGATATTTCTCATGATTAAAACAGCAACTTTAGGATTGTACATGTATCCATAGATAAACATACTCCCTTAGTAGATTTCTCATCCTAATGGAACAGCTGAAGACAATTTTTTTGTTAGTTCTGTACGGTTTATGTAGAGGTCGTGTTTTGTTTACAATTTGTTTCCCGTTAATACAGTCATTCATTTAAAACCTCATTTAACTAAATAATACGATCTAATCATAAACAATAAATTGTTCTCTAGTTATTTAACCAAACAGTAAAGCACAAATCAAGAAATTAACCCTAAAATAATAGAAACAAAATGCCGTCGACACTAGCGCCCAGTGTGGCGTACATGAACTAGACATGAAAAACGAGCTTCAAAATTTACAATGGGATGAGAAGTCTACTTGTGTTGGTTAGTCTATGATGTATCTCAACACCTCACTCAGCTACCAAAGGATTTCTTTTCCATTTTGTCAGGAGATAAGATTGCAAAGGAACATAAGACTTCTGGTAAAGAAAGACTTACTAACGTAGCTAAATAATCAAAATAAAATTAAAGTAAGGTTTTAGAACAGAAAAACAATTATTTATAACAGCAATTTCACAGAGCTCAAAATCTATTATATAGACCATTAAATATATGAAACAAAATTGTATTATATATTTTTCTTAAAAGGTCCCTGTTTCATAACTTACCTTAGGTGACAGTGAGTCAATATGTCCATGGACAATGCTGACTCCTCGGAGATTGTTGTAGAAGATCGGACTTTGAACTTTCACTCGCTTCACAACTGAAGATCTGAAACAAAAAAGTGATCAGTAAGCCTGCAGCTCTGTGCAAAAACTGAATATTCACTTAATCTGCAGGTTTGCTTTCATGAGGACATCAAAAGAATTTGTATTGTGTAAGAAAGCTATATCAAATCTTGTAAATTATGTAAAGAATACTGATTGTTAAGTTAAACACAAAAAAAGTTTTGAGAAAAATCAACTGAGTTGAATAACTTGTTATATAACCTTAAATTTAACCAAAGGAGACATTGTAGTATGTTTTATCTAAGGTAACACCAACTGGGTGTGTAATTCAGAATGATTGATTAAAACCAAAACCAATTAGTTATACAGTATTTTAGTTTATGTGGAATGACTTTGAGGTTTGACTAGCAAGCCGAGTGGTTATAAGAAGTAGTGAGTGATTATAAGAATGTCACATTTAAATGGACTTTTTAGTTAGAAAATTATAAAGATAAATTTAACATCTTGGCCTAAATAAAATGAATCAGTGATGAAACAAAGAAGTTTTATAGATACATACACAAATCATCAAATTTGTTGCGTTATGCTATTTTTCTGTACCTGTTCCTTTATAAAAAAAAGGGGAAAAAAGATGTAACTTGTTTGAAATAGTTTAACTCAATAGTCAAAGCCATGTCTACATATACCTCCTGCAACCTTGGTACCAAAATAATCGTTTAAACTGAATGAATTTGTCAAATATATTTATGCTACAATGTTACAGTAGTAATATTGGATTCTGTAATGTAGCAGTGAATATAATTAATTGGACAGAATAAGCTGTTGTTGTTAAAAAACCAACATTAATTAAATTAATTTAAAATCTTCATTCCAGTTGTATAAACTGTATAAGGGAAGAAGTGTTAATCTAGAAATGGCTGGGGAAGGGGAGAACCAATCAACACTTAATCAAAGGCTGGAAATGGAAACTGGCATCTTTATATATACTTATTTGTGTTCTTTCTTAATTGACAACAATATAGGTCAAGCATTTTTACAGACAACAATGTTTATTTTTATTTGTCATAATGTACTATTTTATGTACTTTAACTGTTACAATTGGCTCAAAACAGAAATATTACTGTAATCTCCAACAGCTACAAAGAGGTCTTTATCAACACTGTCATTTATTGAGGCATTAAGGTCTGAATTTGAAGCTGAACATAAATGCAAGATACATGGGTATAGAGTGGAGTGAGATTACCTCCATGTAGCTTTTGGTACTGAATCAGATCAGCTGATTCCAGAACTGTTTACTGAAAGCACAATGATCAAGGCTCAAGGACAGCTGATGAGTAAGTTGTGAATCAGCTGACTGACTTTTCACACAATTGAAATGGTGGTTCTTTGTACTGACATCTTAACTCGGCATCACTAATTGTTAGGCTGAGAACTACATATAACCAATTACCAATTCAGCTACATACTGTAATTATTGTTCTGTTTTCTTCTATCTCATATAAATTTGTGTCAGAAGTCTCATTTTTCAAAAAAATCACAATATTATGGTTTTTGGGACTTTTTAGACTATGACATTTAAATTTTAGTTACCTATTATGAGTTTAAAGATAAAACAGTAAATACCTATGATTTAAAACTACTGCAGGTATATTAATCTCCCACTCCCAAAAATTTGTTACATGTCCAAACTGTTACACAATATTGACCTAACTCTTATATGAAAATAGGAAAAAAATATCAAGAGTCTATTTTCCTTTAAAACATATTTGTATGGACTTTTTAACTTCTTAATTTTAATAATATTTATTTTCAATATCTTTTACAAATTTTGATTACATTGAATGAAAATGAACTCTGTTCTGGGCATTGAGATAACGATGATCTGGCAAACTCCCTTGTAAATTAATCTGTCTGACCAAACAAAGGCTAAACAACATGAGACTATCTCCTCAGCTATCAGCTATTGACAACCTGTTAGTTTGTTTCTTCATATAGTAAATATTTGTAATGAATGATTATACCCTCTTTACTGAACATAACCGACTATTGATGAAGAAACAATATTGTTGTATGATAGGGGCAAAATAAGAACTGTTAAATTATAGACTATATACGGTTTTGTATTTTATGCATATTAGCAGAAAAATTTTAAAAACATATTTTTATTTCTCTATTAGATGAACCAGTTATGGAGGAAACAGTAAAAAAAATTGTATATGTAATAGTAATAGTATGCTTACTGAAAAAATAGGAACGGTTGCATTTTTAATTGTCTAAATTTATTATTTTTCACAACTAAACCGTATATTCTAACATTTCAAAACTTAAAACTTTTTTTCAAAAGAGTTATTTAATTTAGATACATAGAACATTCTACATCATCGTATGAACTATATTATAATATACATAAATTATATTAACTTACAGGCAGGGAACTTTTTTACTATTTCATAAATTAAACTAAAACTAAATAATTATCAAAATAATATTATGAAGATTCACAAATGTATTTTAATAAATACATCTGGAAAATAAAAAATACTTACACCTGGATAATGTTTATACTAAACTAATATTTAAGAAATAGTTTTTTAAAAACTTACAAGTCGCTGGAAGGAGCGTAGTCGTCACAGAATTCGCTAAATTCCGGCATTGTTTCGATTAAACCGAATGTAACAGATATATAACACAACCAACTACTTCCACTAGCCTGGCTCTAACTGACAGCTGTATCAGCTGATATGGACACCTGCTCAGCTGTGGTCAACTCACTCGATAAATATGTCGGCTGACTAAGAAATAAACGCAATAAGTAAAATAAATCGCAAATAAAAATCGAAAATATATATTTTTTTAAGAATTAATAAATTTGTTAACAACGTATGAATGTAGTACGAACTCTAAAATCCCACAATCTCCTAATGCAAATAATCACTATCCTACAAACGAACATGCCACACGATCGCGTTCGTCTGTACCGTTACGTTTTGTGGGGTCATTTTTATACGTTTTGTGATAAGATTAGGGGGCTAAGTCCACTGACGGGTAGAGTTGGATAGAGTGGTGAGATGGAGGGGTGGACTACACAGTCTCCTTGAATAGGTCACTTAGTGTTATCTGTCACCGTTGGACACACCCACTGCGAAATAAACAAAAATATTGACTCGGAAAATTCTCGGCCAATCCACGTGTCAGTTGCATCATTTCCATCGTAAAGACACCGAATATGAGCTCGTAATCGTATTTCATGGGAATGAAAGAAAAATGGGATTGTACTTGGATAAATTGGCGTTTGACTTACGTATCTTTAACAATTTATCAAAGTAAAAGAAGACAACATTTTAAAAGCATTTGGATTAGACTTAAGTATATCTTGCTGGCATAGTACATGAGCAATCGGTACAAATGTGACGTTCATGTTTAACAAAATTACTTGAGAGGAAACTATTATTATAAGAAAAGTGTTAACCAAAACATAAGAACTAGACTCGCTACTTTCGATAATGGGCAAATATGTGAACATTTCTAAAAACTCTATGATGGTATTATAGCCTCTAGATGGCTACGTGTTCGAAATGGTGTAAATGTTTATGGTTATTGTTTATATTGCATGTAGCAACATGTTTCGGTGCCAACATCGATCTCTATTATTACTAATAGAGATCGATGGGTGCCAAAACCCTGTATTATCTTCTTTTAATTGTCAATATCTTTTTTCGTACCTTCTTAATACCAATACCAGTAACCCCTTATAACGCCAACTTACGAATTGGTTGAAAAACTAGTAAAGTTTATATTTGACAATTTTACCACTTTCAACGTAGTTTAAAAGCCATAACGTTAAAAAAAATTTAAAACGCGAGTTAAAATATATTATTTAAATTTGTAATTTTATAAATTTCTTAATAGGTTAACGGTACCTGCCCTTGATAAAGCGTCATTTTAAAATATGGTTATTTGCGTTATAGTACACTCTCATAACATTATAATTTGATACACCATCCTTGGAAAAAGACTTAATAAATTCTTGATCAGCAACAAAAAAACACAAAAAAAAGAAAACATGTACACTCCACCAATCATCATCAGACCCAATAGGCGTCTTTCGCCTATAAAAATATATTATCACAAGTGTTATTAAACGTATTTTTTGTACTTCCATAAAGAAGACGTGTATAAATATTATTTTGACCTTCTGTCTAAAAAACTTATAAAACATGCGTGATCATGAATAAAAAAATTTATTTATGAACACTAATGAACTAGTGAACATATTGTACGACAGTTGGAAGATTTACCTATCTACGTATAAACCTTTTGAAATTTACAAGGTTGCCTGCAAGAATTTTTCACAGGGGGAGGGCAGCAAATAATAATAATAATTATTATAATATATATCCTTTTAAATATGAAAAATCATAAGGTTAACGTGGGAAACTCCAGAGCCACTGGAGCGGTCCAGAGCCCGAAAGCCCGATCAGAATACAAACTACTTAGTTTTCCTATTTAATGCCCAAAGAATCGGTGTACCGAATTTCAGCCTCCTAGGTTAATGGGAAGTGGGAGAATTAGTGATGAGTGAGTGAGTGAGTCAGTCAGTGAGTCAGTGAGGGCTTTGCCTTTTATATATATAGATAATTAACGTGGTTTTGGGGTCTTACAGGACATGATTGAGGCTGTTTAAAAGGCAAAATTCTAATCCGGAAAAATTACAATATTTTGTATTTGCTTCTAAAATCAATGGATGCCTTTAAAACGTAAGTAACTGTACAAACTTGGAACTACATCAAATATTTCTGGTTAAATATAATGTATTAATCACTGTACTAAAAATTGTATACCATACTTTTATACAAAACTAGCTGCTGTACCCGTTCTTCGTAACGGGAGGATGTACTATGCCGCCTAATCCAAACACTTGCTAAGTAGTTCGAATTTATAAACACGCCACCAAATTTATACAAACAAGTATGATTTACATTGATTTGTCCTACTGTTTACATGAAAATATATCAATAACATTATTGTCATAACTAATGGTTATAGAATCTTTCTTTTTATTCCATAATCAATGGCATAGTTTTAGAAATAATTATTGTGTAATAGTAGTTTACGCAACCACGAGTAGAAAATTTAAGGCACGAGCCTTGGCGAGTGCCTTAAAAACTTCTACGAGTGTCGTAAAGACTATTAACGCGAGTTGCGTACCCTACTTTACCTACGACCGTTTTTTAATTACTATCAATCTGGATTTAATTACTAACAATCACTACTGATAACTTTTTAGAGAGGTTATGTTTTCGTGTATTTTCATTGCCACTGAAAGTGATGCAACGACTTGTATAATCAGCTGATTTCCTGTAATTACGTGTTTGTTAAACTTCGTTAAATATTACATTGCTAGCAGCATTCTTACCATAAATAATATTTTTCCTACAGTTACCTAACAATGTACATGTTCTCTCACTGATTTGAGAAAGTAAAGTGGCCAATTTGCTCATCAGTGATACAATGTTAACATTGTCTCACTCTAATTACTTTGTCTCACTCCAGATTTGCAACGTCAAGGCACGAAATAGTTAGCGCGTAACATGCAGGCAACGTCGTATGCGCGCGAAATACGTTGGCAGCACTGGCTGTAAATCAGCTGGTCAGCTGTTGTACTGTTGTATTTGTCACTTCACGTTAAATGTCATATCAAAAGTTCACTTCTGTGTAAAAATAGGTTATGTTTCTTCACCAATTTATTTGTTTTATGGTAACTGTAGGAAAAGTATAATGTGCAACTCGAGTTCAAAGTACAATTGCCTCACTCGAGAAACCATTCTTCACTCGCCTACGGCTCGTGAGTAAGGATTTCTCTCGAGTGAGTCAATTGCTCACTTTTCTCACTAGTTGCACAAATAACTAGTATCAGGTACAATTCGGCAAATATTTCATTTATTTTTGGACTTCCACCAACTTAATTAAGAATACGCGAGTATCAACATGAACAAGTCGGATCAACAATTAAATTGGTCAACTGATCAGCTGATCAGCGAAAACATAACCTCTCTAAAAAGTTATCAGTAGTGATTGTTAGAAATTAAATCTAGATTGATAGTAATTAATAAACGGTCGTAGGTAAAGTAGTGTACGCAACTCGCGTTAATAGTCTTTACGACACGAGTAGAAAATTTAAGGCACGAGCCTTAAACTACTATTATTTCAGTTGTTTGGGTCAGCTGTCTGAAATGTTTAAATAAACATTTAGCTGTTCTAATTGTTATTTACATCGAAATACAAAGGTAAACAAAGGTGTGCATTTTCTCATGCTTCCATGGAGACCAATCAATATTTACTTTTGAAAACCTCACCTCAAAACTTTGGAAACCCAAGGGGCGTAGCCCGAGAGGAACTCAGGTTAGTGAATAGGCCTATGACATTCCTACAAGAATATAAGAGTACTTTATTCGCAATCTTTGAGATTGAAAGGGTGTCAATACAATAGAGCCTAAGTTGTCAATTTTAAGGCCATTCAACTTCCTAGATAATATCACGTGGACCATCTTTGTGCTTAATTTTGGCTGTATCGGTTTAGTATTTTAGCCGTGGCAGCCGCACAGACAAACGGACAGGCAGACTCTAACTTAATTTAATAATAGTAGGCTATAGATTGGTTTATAAAGAATGTATAACACAGAAGGGGTTTTAATTAAATCTCACCATTCTTTAAATTGACAGACGACAACTTTTGAACTTAGCACGTTATCTATTTTGTGGTTTCTGTATAGTTATTATTATATCAATTTGACATAGCCTAATTTGCTATTATATTGCACTTGTTTCATTTCAACCAAGCAATTCTTAAACTAAGATTATTTCGTCATTTGGACACGTTGAGCTAATGAGCTATTCAATTCTTGTACAACTTACTGCACCCATGTTAAATTTCCAAAACGCCCTTCACTTAACGTATCAATAGTTAGGAACCATTTTATCGACCGAATTCACCTGCATTCATCCCTCATCCAGATTAACATAAATCCCTTAACACTCACATCCAGCATTAACATTATCGAAATATAACTATCGTTTATAAAAATGCATTAAAAATTATAATTCGTCAAATTATTTTCTATAAATAAATTCTTTAAGCTTACATAAAACTCAAACATTAAATTTTGAACATTGCTCACCCATATGAACATCGTGCTAAGGCACAGATCAGTAGGCAAGTAAACAGCATTTCACCCATTGAACCAATGTGGATGCACTTCTAAACACAAAACTAACCAAGCTTAGACTTCCACGGCTTAAATCGAGAAACAAACTCGAATCTTATCTCTAAATCTCCCTCCATGTGATTCGCCTGTTCCAGATTTAAGAGATTTTAATCACTAAAATAAAGCAAGCTCAGCGTCATCGATTAATTTAGGTCAGCAACAAAAAGATCAATATCTCGGACCTTGGCCCACTTATGTTTAGCTCAATTTCGCTGTGACATTTTTTAAACTTGAGATGACGAAATTTAATTGTTGTTTACAAACATTCTAGCTGCACTCGAAACCTTGTTCCCAATCGAAAATGCAGGTTGCAGTTAAGATTAAGATTGGCCAATAGACACTCTTTTAGGTGCATATTTTTGTTACATCTATGCCAAAGACGTTGTGATGCTGTAAATAACACGTTTTTACCAGCATCTGAAATGGATTCTGTGATTAAACAGTTTGTTCGTCTTGTTGGAGCAAGAAATGTCGTTTAATAAATACCGATCCAGGATCGAACCGGCAACCTTTGGCTTGTCAAGTTATAAGGACTAAGCTATTAAGCTATATTATATTCGCCATACTACGTTTCCATACATAAACTACTTATCAACGCCCCCCGAGGTGTCCAACTCATCGAAAGTCAACACCGATTGTTTATTGTTGATACTCTGTCTGGTGGAACTATTTAAGCTGAGGGGTGTTTAACTTTCCTCTCGT